GAAAAAAAATAGTTGAGATATGCCCCACTTAGTCAAATATTCACCAGCTTTCAAATAATTTTCATAAGTTTCCGTTTTATTCTACGAAAAGGCCTACACAATCAAGACGGCACATAGTAAACAACATACATTATCTCAACGCCAAGGTAAAAGTCAATGTCGACTCACAAAACTGAGATAATCGACCAACGGAAGTCCAGTAAGGACACGGCACACCCTATTAAATATGACGCCTTGGATTTAAGCTTCCCGTCGAGTAGCAATTCGTCATAGGATGAAAATGAAATACACGGAATCCATTACTACAACCCAAACGCCAGACACCAGTTTTTTTCCCAAGTCTAGGGAAAATGGACGTTTTCCATGAGACAGAATCGAGGATTGCGTCGGTGTTGATAGAGTTGATAATGGGTGTCACCATGACACGTATCACGCAGCCCAGAAAAATAGCCATGTGCTTAACCCATGCAAAGTAAATGCGTACCAATCTACCACTGGTAATACGTTCCACCACGATGTACCAATCAGTCGAGAATAAGAGAAATTCTCGCCATACACTTTAGCGGTAACGGTTATCGAAATTCCCAAATCCTGCACTCAAACGTCCAAATCACATCACAGGGTTCAGCAGCAAATTCGGTCAGAAGAGCAAACTTTAATCACTGAGGTCCAATTATGATGTACGTGCGCGCAAATAAATCTAACAAGGCTACATTTTATTTCTACTTCAGAATCCACACAAAACCCATTCAAAAGATACAATTTTGTAGCTACGCATTAAATTAATGCCATAGGTGGCTTGCACTCAGAGTTCGTCCCGGATTGAATAATCACTAACCTGCCCAGTAAATTCGCCCCTCATGCAAATGAATAAACAGCGCTCCAACCGGGAAGAGGTTGTTTGACGGTCACTTTTCTCTAATTGGTCGATCCTCAAGGCTGTTGGATTTTAAAACCATCACGTGGTTGCGCAACTAGGCAAAACTGCGTGGAATCGAAACTTCCGCCACGGGTAGTTGAACAGAGACAGCCAACGAAAGGCACGATAAGTGAAAGAACTAACAACCATCACAAGCATATTCCCAAAGTAAACAACAACCACGAACTAATGCAAAGCTTATAAAACACCAGCAGTATGGGAACAAAGGCGCGCTTTATAGCTGAGATAGACGGTGTAGTGTTTAGGTTTTCAAGCTTTACGAAAATTACTTTGTAAGTTTAGGTTTTGAATAGGCCTTGTTGGGAAGCGCAATAGTAGTTTATTTATGATACGAAAGTATGATGAATAGTACACATAAATTGGGTACCAATTTACGAATTAAAAGATCACCATTTATTGTGTAAAAGTTGTGTCAAAATGTAAATAGGCCTACAAAAAAGCAAATGGAAGACTCTGAGGGGCACCTGCGTTAGTCTGATTAGGGGTGTCGATTAATATCTTTCCTGTGGGATCAATATAAAACCACCGAGGGAAGTAGTGTGGGTTCCGTTGGTTTTAAAACATTTTTACTAATTTTTATAAGTAACAAAAAAAAATGGATGCTCTAGCAGAGCAACGACAGCCGCAAGGCTTGTAGTGATGCGCGGCGTTATTTGGACTAACAACGGTGAATTGTATTGAATCTTGATCTGACCAGACCCTTCACCAAGCCACCAGTCCCTATGCGTCGCAGCGGACTTGAAATTTAACTTCGAATCGCACAGCGGCAAAACGAAGGGTTGAAATAAATTCTACGGCTATTTAAATAACCCATTTTGGTATCGTAGACATTCCCGTTATATTACTGAGAAAAATATACTTAAAAGTCATAAAACGAGATTAATTTGTAGAAACCATGTCTGAGGTGTGGCACAACATACGAAACTAAGAACAAAAATGTTCATACGTTCACCGAAAGGCTAAAATAGTGTACCAACGAAAGCTGAATGCTGATGAAAGAAAAGGAAAAAAATAAAAGTAATGACCAATAGACAAATATTTGGTCAACCAATCTAAGGTAATGGAAACTTTAAAGCTGAGTTCAGCAAGCATTCTATAATTCAAATTTTTCGTGATCACCAAAAAAGCGTGCCTAAGAAGCGATTGCTTTGACGAGAAAAGTAGCGCGAAATTCCAAAAGAAATAATCCCAAAACTACAACGACGCCAAAACAGAAAGAACCTACAACAAACTCATATTTTTCAGAGATTTGGCAAAGATAAAGGACCGGAAAATAGACTGCGAGTCAAACTCGCATTTGGAATTAAAAAAACTATTTAGTCAAAAAAGGAAGAGACTGAATAAGGAGCCCCAAACTGCTTTGACGAGCAAAGGACATTAAACAAACAGATTTGCAAACTATGAGACGAAACCTACACCTAGGGTCGTAGCAGTAGCCGATGTGGAGGGAGCGGTATAGCATTTGAAATCCTCGGTGCCACCACCACTAGAAATGCCTGTCGACGTCGACGGCTGTGCGGACTGGGAAGGCTGCCTTCCGTCAATTTGCATAGCCTGCCGCAATAAGTGAGTCAAAAAATCCAAATCTGCTGTTCCATTAAAGGCATTCCAGTGTTGTTGTTGTTGCTGTTGATGAGTCTGATAGGCCAGCGCCGCAGCAGCAGCTATTTGGGCGAAAGGACCGTATACAGAGTCAAGGAGACTTCTGCTCTGGGAGGTAGCTGCAATAAGGGAAGCGATGTCTTCCGGAGGAGCCGCCGGAGAATTTTCGAAACCGGGTGGTGGTGCGAACATTAGTGGCAAGGAAGGGGAGAAAGTCTGAGTGGCCAGAGATACCTGCGGCTGAGGAGGCTGCTCCGACGCCATCAGCTCCGCCAGTCCAACCTGTGATTCGCGGATTGGATCGAAATCTATGTCGGCAAAAGCGTTCATGTTGGTGCTACTACTGACACTACCACAGTCGAGATTTTGAGGATTCACATCTACGTGGTGTTGGGAGTAAAACAGACCTTTGGAACTCTCAAAAGAGGATATACAAGAAGAGGAGGAATAAGAGGGCGCAACATGGTCGCTTGCAGACGGAAGCTCTCCACTCCGGATAGTAATTGACTCCTTTTCAGATGGCCGGGGAGCACCAGTGGCAGTGATAGAAGAAGTTGCCCTCGAATCGGATGCCATCGCAGGAGACTCCCGATTTTGTACGGTGTTGCTGCTATTAGTGTCGCGAACGATCACTTCAGAATTAGTTCCACCGCCGGCATCAGCAGCTGGCGCTTGGTTGGCGACAAATTCATCCAGGAGTGCCTTCATATATTCCGTATGTTTCCCCGCGTGCATCTGCTCCTTCGTGAAACTAGCTTTCGGATCGCCCAGGCCATGAAGATACATGCACTCCTATAAAAAAATTAGCAAATAGTGGTGAGCACAAAAGAGGGGGTTGTATTACGAGAACGTTTCGCCACATAAACTGCGTTGTGCTTGGAAAAATTTCATACGGCTTCTTTAAAACTATATTTAAGGTCGTAAAAGTCAAAAACATGGGTAAAAGGACCAGCTACACTGAAAAATCATGAGGGTGGATTCGTTGCTGCTTGCCGCCAAGCGTAACTGGTCATGCTAAAAAAGGAGCAACGATCTGTTGCAACGCAAACAACCAACCATTGGGTTAGTCGTTCAACAAAAATTTTATACAATTCAAGAGAATTGTGAGTTAACATATTACAATCTTACAGCCTTACGAATTGTAGATAACCATAACAAAAGTACGATGCCAACTCGAAGGCTAGCCAAGATATACTCTGAGATCACTTTAATAAAACTATATCGTAGGGGGAAACTAGGTTAGCTAATAGCGCTCGCTTTGGTCGAGGTAGTAAATGGTACGTTTATAAGTAGCATAACGATAGCATGCAACAGCACGGCTTTGCCCGCGCAGCATATCACGTGAGCCCACGTCTGATGCTAGTCATGTTTAAGTAACCCATGTGAAAACTGAACACGCTTTCCAAGTTATTTTTGTTGAAGCAAAAAACAAACCCATTTTACTGTTTCCCTCCTTACACTAAATAATAAGTGGCGTTCTGAGTATTCACCCGATTAAACTATTTCCGATTCAAAGATGCAGTGACAGATGAAATTTGAAAATCACTTGCAATTGTAGAATGGTTTGGGTAATATTCAATTACCTCCAAAAATTTGTCAGTTTAAACGCATTCCAATAAAACGCTACATTCCCAATGATAATACTAATCGGGTGTAACCAAAACATTTGTAACAAAGTACTTTCAAGAAAACCGGACAAGCACATGACCGCTATTAATCTTTTAAAAATGAATGCAACAGGCAAGATAGCTTGGTAATTTGTGCTGAAAAAGGATGTAGTCGGAAAGAGATTGGAAAACCATAGAATGACCCAAGAAATGCGAAAATGAACCAGAACTACCAACATTCAACGGTTAAAGTTCCATTGCAGAGACAGCACAAAGTATGTCTATGCTAAGCACAAACAACTTACATGTTTATTACACTTATGACCACGAAGGAATTGGCTACAGTACTTTGTGGTTCCAAGGGACACCCGCAATTGTCGACCGTGCATCATAGATTGGTCCAATGTGAGAACAGCTCGCATAGCATCCTCCGAGCGATCGTAAGTGATGTAGGCACTAATGCTTGGCTGACCCTGAAGACCGCATGGCCCATTACAAAAAATGGTTTATGCTAAAGAAGTTTAGGAAGCAATACAAGGCGATAACCATAAATACAAAAGTCTCTTATGAGGTGAAACAAAGTGATGAAATGCAGCGCGCCAAGGTTCAATAAATTTCCAATTATACTATAAGAAAAAGCAAAAGATATATGTTTCCAAGTCCTACCTGTGGGCCCGTAAATGTCTGACTGGCGTTAACTTCGACCTTGTACACCTTGCCGAATTGGCCAAAATATTGGGGTCCCTTTAGAATTTCCTTATCTTTTGATATCCATTGAGGTAAACCAACCACGAAAACCAGATTTGTTTGTATAACCCTACAGAGATGTGAACCCGTGTAAATAATCATACCTGAGCTCTGGTAAGAGCTTAAATGTCTCCTTGGGAATATGTAGCTTACTTAATGCCTCCTTTTTCCTTTTAATGGGCTTCCGCTTAGTTTCCCTTAGGAATCAAAACCAAACACATAAACCTACATTGTCGATGTTTGTGGAATTTTCACGGCAGGAGCATCCGGATCATAAGGCTGAAAGTGTGTTACAAAATGGTACCCTACTTGTCTGCAAGCTGGACACAAACCATTTTCTTCATTTATAATTTTTGCCCAACAAAAACGGCAAACCTTCTGATAGACAACAGTAAACGCAAAGTACCTGATAAAGACAAGGACATGGAAAGAATGAAACATCATCTGAATCCATTGGTTCCAGGCAAAGAGGACACTAAATTCAAAATTAAGTAAAATTTTACTGTAATACATCGCTCCCTTCGGATGACATTATCAATATGCTTAAGAGTGAAAAACCAGGTACAACACCAGAAGAAACCAGCTGAAAATGCTAATATGCAGATGGGCTAATTTAGGCAAACGTTGTCTACCTATTGGTGGAATCTTCGGATCAGCCCACTATGTTAAGTCTGAATTGCATGATTCTGATGGCCAGAGGTGGGCACTAATAAACCCACATTGCAATCGCATACACTCTAGTTTTGGATAGTGTTATTCAGGCAGGTTTCCGCCCTTTTTGACCAGAAAAAAATATGCTAAGGCACGAGAGAAACTACCACAAGTCCTCCGAAGCAAAATCATTTGATCACAGCCACTAGGAATGCACTGGAAATTGTCTTCAGAATTGCTTGGAAAATTTGTAACAGCAGGATATTTGGGGATGTGCTAAAGCCCTATTTATGCTGTAAACCAAGTAACGCAACCATTTCTCCACATTGTCTGCTTGCATGACTTTTGTTAGTTGGTGGATTTCCTTTACTACAAAGTTCATGTCAATCCACTAGCTAATTGCAAAAAGTGCTTGCACCACTCTTGTTTATACATTTAACTGCTTCCCAGATCTCACATCAAGTACCAATTGGTACTTCTAAAGTCACATTACCGCTTGCAAACCCCGTCCATGTTTTAGCTTCAAGTGACTAAAAAATCACTCGGGACCCATACAGCCCCGGGTGGCCTTCCCTAACACAACTTAATTTCGTGTGATCCTCCCGTATCCACGTGGTTATATGGTGCGGCGTTGAACACGCCCCCAAGCAGGTTGAGCGCTGCTGTGACAGACGCGACAAAGTGCCCCCACCTGGCCCTGTCAAACTGGCCTTGGTTCGAGTGCTAATACGCGCCACTCGTACATCTGTCTACGCTCAGCATTGCCTCATCTTCGAAGGCGCGCCCTCTAATACGGTAGTACCTGCCATGCAGATACGACTAGATCGAAGAGCAAATGTCTTACTGGACGAGCCAGCCCATTTCGACATCCAGGCGCGAGACAATCGCACACAGACTCTACGGACAGGCCGCCGGACACGATACGACAGGATGTCGTGCCGCTGAAGACTGGGTCCGCGTTCAGCCAGAGCTACATGTCCCTAGCCGCTTCTCGCCTCCGGGTGCGGAAAATTGGCCGCCGAGCTCCATGTCCACATCCGATGAAATTATGAGACATGTATGACTTATCAGGGTGAGTATTCGCAAATAAACGTTAAGCACTGGAACAGCACCGGAGGATAATCTTGTAGTGGTGAGAAACCACAGAACTTCTGGATGGTCATAATTCAAAAGACGAATTAAGGGCAATAAAATCTCAGGAGTGACATCAAAATATACAACTTTAAGATAGCACTACATGGACAAGCTAAAATTGCGAATCCAAATTGACTCCTGAGCTCCTTCTTTCCCTATTTAGCTTTCGCACAAATGACGGCTTCGACGAGTTAAAGTACCGCATCCTCAAACCTCTGAACTGAAGGGCTTTGCTTGTAATTCCTCGTCTATACGCTCCTTCGCCCGAAAGACCTAAATATAAATTACACACTCTAAGTCGACCGCATATAATGCACATTGCAGTTTATGAAGCTAAAAAAGTCCAGTGTGGCGTTCCAATTTAGTTAGTCTCAGCTATTTACACGTAGCAGGAAGAATGATATTATCGTTGGTAAGATAGTTGCGACAATGGCCTGCGGAAGGCACTAGTTTAAACAACCGTGACTGTGAATGGTTCCACATAGTTATATCGCTCAAGAATACTTATCAGGCGAATCAATGGTTCGAATGTGGAGGTTACTGCATATCAGTTTATTTGTCTTATAAAAATAAAAGTGCGAATGAAAGTCTGAGACAATGAAAGACGGTAATGATAGGGTAAAGTTAATTGTTAAGAAATACACCAAACAGGAGCCAATATAAAAAGATGGAAATATGCGCAATGAGCATATAGCTCGCAACCAGCGGAATTGTAATCAAGTAAATTTAGATGCGAATAATATCCCACCTTTGACTGCAAATAGAGAGATCCACCATTCTTCTTATCATTCACAGTAAAAAGATGATCATACTTCTTGGCGACTTCTTCCACGTTATGAATGTTGGAAATGTTAAGGATTTGCTTGGCCTCCTCCAAGGAGATGTCCGACAAACTTGAACCACGATCCGATTTGCTGGAATATTTATCCGCACTTGCACGGGCCCTTGCCGCATTCATACTGGCAGCATACTCTTCCTGTAGAGCTTTAACAAAAGCTCGACCAAGGATACGTGATACAGAAAGAATCACTTGGGCCAAATACTTCGCCTGGGATGTATGGGAAAAGCAATGTATTAGGTAAGCTAGAAGTTAGAGATTAAAAAACTTACAGCAGGTAAGTCATATATATCCAAAAAAATTTAAATCAGGAGGTTCAGTTCAAACAACCTGTTTGGCATAATAAAAAGCTGGAGAGATGACACAAGCAGAAAATTTGCGGGTTACTTTAAATAGCAACAAGCTACAGGCAAAAAGCTTCACATGCAGAGCAAGCAAAAAACAGATGACAAGTGATATAGCAAAGACAAAAATATTGAATGATTTCGCAAAAGACCGCGCAAGAAACGACTTAGACAAAGCGTCAAAACCACCGTTGCGGAATGCGATGTTAATTGCACTAAATAATTCGCGGCTTTATAGGGCGATTAAAAGTGGGAAAATCTTAGAATCGTTTGTCAAATATCGCAAGGCAGAAGCCTCACAAAAACACTTACATACCATTTAAGAAGTATAGAAGTATACTGGAGTCCCAGCATGTGCAATTAAAACAAATTCGGCTTTGCTGGATTTAAAAATACACCTTCGGTTGCGATTAGCTTAAAACCAACTTAAATGCTAGCTTGCTGTTTATCTACAATGTAGATGCCTTACCTCATTATTCTTTAAAAAATAGGTTTAACAAGGGTCTGTTTATTACCAAACGTTAATGGAAATTGTTAATGATTAAGAAGGCCCTGTGTTCTAAACCCTGTTCTGCTTAAAGGTAATTTGACGAACTCCCTGTAGCAAGATTAGTGCGCAGTAGACGCCTCTAGACCAAAAGGCCCATTTAAAACCATGCATTACCCATGACTAGTTGGTTACACATCCATAATCAAAATCTCAGTTAAGTTTTTATTCTGCGTGGCAAATTATTAACACAATTAGTGGTATTACTAATTATACAGGCATTTGAGCCTCTGCAGATTAAGTTTCAATTCGAGAAGATGACCTTTAAGGTCGTGAAAACCTTCTGCACTTCAGTAACATCTTTATGACCCCTTGGTATTGGTTGGGCGCCACTTTTGAACTTTTGAACTGGGCTTCTTGTACCACGCTTGGTGGGCTGTGCTTCGGGCCATCCTAATAGCCCAAACACCATATCTGAGCTAGATATATGTATTCTGCTTAAGTATTGCAGCGTCTTTCGTCTTCAGGAAGGTCTCGGAGCGGCACACAAGGTCTTACGCCTCACAGTGAAAAGGGTTATATCGATTTCAAAGCAAAGTTAAAGCATCATGGGCCCAAAGCCCCAACCTTTGACGAGGTGCATGAATTTAGCATTGTTATATGGATATTGTGCATTGGTTTAGAGCCTTAAAGCTTTGCTATTAAACTGTGCATTAGATCACTTGGGCAGTGGAGTCCACGCAATTTCTGTCACCTCTCGTCTATATGGCGTCCGGACCATGCCAGTAGCCTCAGTTTTCTTATGTTCTTTGGTTTTAAAAAGTACTAACAGATGTTTTAACAGTATGGCATAAAGTTAAGGCCATAAAACAATTTTTTACAATTGCGCAATTTTTATGCTACATATTTCAAAGCCAAATAATAAAAGGCCTTTAACCAAATAAACTTGTTTGTTTATTTTTAGATAAGAGAAAGCTGTTTTTGCTTTCAAGGTCATTCAAAATATTTATATTCCACATGTGGATTTGTTTAAGATGTTGCAATTTGATGCGCACAAACCTTTACGTTCGCGGCACATGGGTGAGGGACTAATCGATGCTAGCTTGCTGGTCGGAAAATATGATGAAAGCAATCCTTTGGTTTTAATCCCCAAGAGGAAGAGTGTACTGAAGAGGGCGGCGGCTGATCGACCGCCCAAGATTTTGTCTCGAAGCAGAAAGAAGGAGCTTCAGAAGCTGGTTGCTAAAAAGCAAAAAAAATTAACGGTTTGCCATTCTAAATTAATTTATTTAGTCATAATAGAGGGGTGCGCTTTGGAAGGAACTTGAAGGTCTGACAGGTAAAAATGCCACGACGACTGCTTTGTACAAGTTGTTCAGTCGTAATCGCAAATCTGAGAGGAAAGTTGAGAGGTAAAATAAATGCAGGTCGTTATATCTCAGATTGTCCAAATCTTACCTTCTAAAATCGAAAAGATGGCGTGATTCTTCATCACCTTCTGGTTCCTCTATAGTTTCCGATAGTCTTAGTTCGACAGAAGAACTATTGTCTGAATCGATTGGTCAAACTTGCCCGCCTGAAGTCACGAGGAGCCAAGTAATCGAATCTGATCCTGCCTTGCTGCTTAATAAATCCGGTGATTTCGAGTCCGTAAAAACGCAAACGACTGCCTCGATTCCTTTCGATGGCGGAATGAGGGTGATGTACGTCCCTGTGAATAGAAGTCCTGATATTCAAACTGCTCGTCTCACCCTTCCTATAGTCTCTGAAGAGGCTAGAATAATGGAAAAAATAAGTGAAAATGACGTAGTCATTATCTGCGGTGCTACTGGCTGCGGTAAAACTACGCAAGTACCCCAATTTCTGTACGAGGCTGGTTATACAAGGCAGGTTGAACTGGTTTTAAGTTGCTCCACTAAGAGCTTCTTTGTTTCTTTTAGAATATTTGTGTCGCCTGATGTTTATTCTGGCTTTTTCTTCTTTAGGGACAATTATAAAATTGGTATCACGGAACCAAGACGTGTTGCTGCGATAACCATGTGTGAACGTGTCTCCGAAGAACTGGGTTTTAATAATGGGTGTGTGGTAGAATTCCGCTTTTTTGGTTTTATTTGATCTAAAACTGTCTTTTTTAATACTTTCAGTGAAGTTGGTTATCATATACGCTACGGAAAGAACATTTCGACTAAGACTCAGATCAAATTTATGACTGATGGAATTTTACTTCAAGAAATGAAAAAGGTGAGGAATTTGGCTATATTTTAAATTTTTGTTAAGAATGGCCTAGTCGCGTGCTTGGTAAATATTTGTTGAAGGAAGCAGTGTGATTTGCATTTGATTTTTTGCGTAGGACTTTGAATTGTCTTCTTATTCTGTAATACTGGTCGACGAAGCCCACGAAAGATCAGTTTACACCGACGTCCTATTGGGTCTTCTTTCTCTTGTGACGCGCTTGCGCAGACGGGCTTACAATGAGAAACCGGATAGTGCACTCCTTCCACTGAAACTGATAATTATGTCCGCCACTTTGCGAGTCGAAGATTTTGCCGATAATAAAAGACTCTTCCCCACCGTTAAGGCGAATCCGGGGGGAGAGAGTAAATGCGATGATGACGATGAACGTGAAGGTCAGAGGCCCGGTGCTCCACCTGTTTTGAAAGTTGAATCCAGACAGTTCCCGGTGACTTGCCACTTCTCCCGTCACACACCCGATGACTACCTCAAAGCCGCTTTCCGTAAGGTGGGTAGTGTCACCAAACGCAATGTACTACTGTTTTTCCCAGCGGTCGAATTCGATCCGGTTAACACAATAAAAACAGTTTAATTACTGTGGTGTTGCGTCGCTGCCGTTTCCTTTTTTATCTTAGTGCTGTGGTGCTAGATCACCAACTAGTAATCATGTTGGTGAAATGTAATTCAGATAGATTCAAATGTCGGTTAGTAACTTACTAACTTGAAGTTCTATTATCTGTACTTTCTAAGTTACGCTCTTTACAAAGTTATAATGCGACAATGACGATTGTCTTTCGATTTGGTGTGATTTGATTAAACATTTTACTAATGGGCTCAAGGAAGTTAATGCGCCCCTTCTTACCTAGGTAATGGACATTCACCGAGACGCAGCACCCGGTGGGATTTTGGTATTTTTAACTGGTCAACGGGAAGTCCGGACCCTCTGTAATTGGCTCTTAAAAGCGTTCCCAATTACAGAGTCTGCGGATACTAAAGCAAAAACAAGGAGGGGCAAGAAGGAAGATGTAGTTGAAGCCGAGCCCTATAAGAATAAGGCGAAGAAGCGGAAAAGGGCTAAGACGGAGGCCGAAGAGAATTCGAAAGGTGAAAAGTCGGCAGATCGGATAAATCTTAACGAAATGGAGGAAGATTTATCTATTGAGGAAAGCCCATCAATTTCGCGTTTCAATTTAGATAAGTATGTTTGGATTAGGTTTATACGCTCATGTACCATTTTAAAAGTCCATCCTTATGCATGAGCTTGTGTTGTGTTTTTTGTGTAAAACAAGGTGGAATGGAATAGGCTTGTTACTTCTCTTCCAGTTTCGACATCATTCCGGCTGATGAAGAGGTGGAGGTAGGTCTCGGAAGTGAGGGCAGGCGAATTTGGAACCCCCTTAAAGGCGATGGCACAGACGACAAATCCATCAGGAGGCAGGTGATTGAAGAGGATAGTGATGATTATGGTGATGAGGACGCAATTGACGCCGAAGTTCTCCGAGAACTACGAGAATCTAACAATCAAACACAACTTGTAGGTTTTAATCCCTCCTCATTTCTCATCCTCCAAGTGTGCGCTTCCCCAATATTTTAGCTTAGACCCTCGCATGGCCTTATTTAATAACATACTTTGATTATGTCTTCATTACTGGTCATCAGTCGGCATTTCAGGTGATTTCATGCTGCCATACGAGTCAATCGTAAACGTAGTCAATGCATCTTGTGCTAAAGAAAAAATTACCTCCAAATTCCCCACACGTGCTTTATATTGGCGATTTCGGTGTAAATGAAGCTTGGTTTTCATTATCCGGTAATAATGTGGGTTCATTGCGACAGTAGAATCTGATTAGTTACTCACAGTCTTGGCGTGTGCGTTCCGTAGGTTTGTATCAAACTGAAATGCACTTTTTGGATGGGTCTAATCCATCTAGCCTCGAAAACCTTTCAGACACCGATTTTGGCTCTACCACTGTATTCGCTTCTGCCAGCCGAGCAACAGAGACGTGTGTTTAAGCCTCCACCTGAAGGTTGTCGTCTTGTGGTTGTGGCAACCAATGTCGCCGAAACTTCGCTTACAATACCCAACATCCGTTACGTGGTCGACACTGGAAAGGTATGAAGCAGGACAAACTATTTTATCTTCCGATCCATCTTTTGACATAGACCAAAGGAATGCCAAGAAGTATGCGCTTTGTGTGGAGCACAGTCTCAAGCGTTTCGTTTGTCCTTGTCCCAAGGTCAAGTCAAAGATCTACGATACTGGGACGGGGGCCTCGTGCTTCCGCATTGTATGGATTAGTCGGGCCTCAGCAGAGCAGAGAGCGGGCAGAGCGGGTCGTATAGGTCCCGGTCACTGCTACCGCCTCTACTCTTCTCGCGTCTTTGCTGACGAAATGGCGCCATTCACCGCACCCGAAATCCTTACTCGACCTGTCGATGAAGTTGTGCTCCTTCTGAAAGTTCGTCTCCTTTGATAATTAACGTACAACACGAACATTTGCAAACAATGGTGGCATCTTCGTTACATGCTGTACGCCTTATCCCTAGGTGCTTTTGCAAAATCTAGTTCAATAGGTTAAACGTAAGTCCTTTGAAGTGGGATTTTAATCATCTACTATCGTCGCGCGGAACATTTATAGCGGTCAAGGAGGTGGATATTAACTACCTAAAAACTTTGTAGCTGGGTAATATTAGACTTTACCAATAGAGAAATTAGGAGTTAGCTGTGCAAACAGAATATCGTAATTATTGCAGTATTTATCGGTTTCAGAATCAATGTCCAGTTAAATTCACATTAAGCTGGGTGAATATTTTAAGTAACCCTTTTTCGTAAGTTGAGGAATCATATCATTGGAAAATTTTGCATTAATTGTCAAAAAGTGGGCTTAATGTGCATTCATAAATGAACATTTCCATATAAAACTTACGATTTCAAAAATAGAATGATAATTGCGATCAGAAATTTTCTGCTAAAAATACAGGTTTAACAAAGCGGATTTCTTTTGATTTAGTCGTATTTGGGTAGCACTCCACTGTCGCGCTTTCCTCTACCTACATCGCCCACGGCGGCTGCAGTTGAAGCCGCGGAACGACGTCTTACAGCCTTGGGTGCTTTGGAGGAAAAGAAAGTTGGGACAGGTAACGTATCCGCCTTTCCACCACAATGAACTTATGTAGTTGTCATCAGTCAATACAAATACGAGAATGCTGAGATGCGGTGTGTTAAATAGGATGGATTTGCTAAATGGCTATTTCGTACTCTGCACATCTGACTCCCACTTTGCACGCATCAGAAACATTACGAACAATAACGCCGGCGGGTCGGTGGATGGCGCGCCTTCCCCTGCCGGCACGGTTCGCGCGGATGCTACTGTTCGCGAACCAGCACAATCTCATGCCCTACGCCGTGGTCCTCGTAACCGCGCTCTCCGTTCCCGACTTTTTTCTGTCCGATCCCCAGCCGCCGCCGACACTCGTCGAAGATGCCGCGACGGTAGTAGAACAAAGGCGCAAGAGAGCACAAATCTCCGCAGCCGAACGTTTGGCTCAAGTCCGCGTCAAATTCCTGCGGCAGTTCGTTAAAACCGTACGTTTCTCTTTCCCCCACTCAATCCTGTTTGATGGATCGTGATTGAATGCTTGCCTTAGCAAGGGCGGATTCAAGACGATGATTTGGTCTGGTTGAATCGAGTTGGAGGTAAAAAGACAAATTGTTGCGCATTCTTCTCTATTTGCCTTGGTAACGAGATTCTTTTTTTTTTCTGACGTTCCATGCCTCGATATCGCATTTTTGGTAATCAAAATAGATTTCTCCCGAAAATCATTTGGACTCAGGAGCAACTCTGCGATGCAATAAAGAATGTGCCAGCTCAGCTAACGTGACATTTCTTGTATTTGCCTTTGAATCGAAATAGTAAGTATTGGACAACCACCTTTGTTGGAAGGATTTTGAATGATTAAGATAGGTCAAATATATTCCTTATAAATTACTTTTTACTACTTAATGTCACTTTTAAACTGGTGGAATTAGTCATTGTATGTAGGTGGTTATGTTGGAACGTCAGATTCCGAAGTGTTGTAAGTACTCAGTATCCCTGTGAATCGCGTAACAAATTGATCCTAGGAGACAGATCTCATGCTTGGTGACTTGGCGGTTCTACTGGGTGCAGTGTGCTGTTTTGAGCGTTACTGGGCCCAACTGGTTGGGGTTGTGCCCGTAGACGAAGGGAGTGGGCTCCCTCTGCGCATTGATCGCGTTTCACGCCTCAACCCCGAAGCGACTATGCGCGAATTGGTCCAAAAGTGCGGCGTTCGCTGGAGGGCCTACGTCGAGGTACGCCAACTGCGGAGACAACTCACTGACATCTGTAGGCTTTGACCCTCATCTAAATTTACAGCGAGTCATTTTGCACGTGTGCACTAATTTAACTATTACTTTCAGTAAATGCTAATGTGCAGGGCCTAAACCTTGAACTTGACCCCGCCTTACCCAAGCCCACCACTACCCAGGTTGAACAGTTGAGGCAGTTGTTTCTGGTGGGTTCCGTTTGCCACCTAGCTGCTAAGTATGACCTACCGGTGGAGGACCTACCAGCCAAGGATCGTCGGCGGCTTAGGTATGCTTATAAGGCAAGTTGCGGACTCCTTTCCCTGCTATCCTTCTTCACGAGTGTTCAATTTGACTGATACAGTTCTGTTTATCGGCTAACAATTCCTCACCCAAATCAAAACAGAGATGGCCTCGAGTCAAAACATCCGTTTTAGTGGTCAAATTTCTGATAATTGTAGGTGCCCGGCGTTCCAGAGCCTGTGTTTATCGAAGCGGACTCACCGCTCGCTCGGGAAAATTACAGTTTTGTTGCCTTTACAGAACTGCATACAAGCTCAAAACCATACCTCCGCAGTAAGCGTTATTTTACGTCTTTCCCTTCCCGATGATCACTATTTTGCTTATGTACTGTATAATGGTAAATTTGAGTGGATCGCTTGGACTATTTTTTTTCAAAGTATCTGTATTTTTTAAAGGAACGGGGACATTTACAAAACTCAAAGATAGGTAACGCTGTCTAGACGTAGTTCAATTTCAATTCGTACACGTGATTCACATCACATCGGTACTATCTCGTCTTTGGCACTGTTTAAACTGCCCAGATTGTGTTTATTTTCCGTGGGAGCACTTTACCAGTGCCGTCCTTCAAAATTGGAAGATCGCCACTATGGCCTTTGGCATATGGTTCTTTCCTGCTGGTGTATCCATCTGCTGCTTAAGAGCTGCTTATTATTGTGACCAGTACAATCGTGTTTGCCGTCTTTCGAATACCTATTATTTGTAGACGTTTGTGCGATCAATCCTGCCTGGGTGCCGTTCCTGGCTCCGCACAGCTATTGCATCGATGGCCTAAATGTGATGGAGAATGCGGTTTCTGAACCCACGACTGCTGACAAACCGTCGGTACTCGGGACAGATATGGGTGAAGATGAGGGAGAGAAGGCGGAAAAGATCACTCAGCCATTTACCAAGACCACAGCAGCAGTGGGACAGTGTCCGGCTCCCTTCTACGATACCGAGCACGACGCGGTCCTTGTGTACGCCAAGCATGTCGTCTTCGTCGGCGCCAACTTCGTCGACTCAGAGGTCACGGCCCCGGCGGAAGTGGGGAGTATGGAGAATGGTTTTGAGCTTCCCGCACTACACACACCATTCCCTCTCACTTCGGGGCCGGCCGCCACCTCGCTTGGAGACCACGAGTGTCTTGTGTGGTCGGTGCGGTGGTTCGCCCGCTTCCTCCTGGAGGGCAAGGTCTATCCTAGGCAACTTGCCTCTTGGTTTCCCAAATCTGTTAGAACCTCCACGCCAACTCGGATGATTACGCTCTCCTGGGGTCTGTACGTCCAATTCATGCCTACCTCCACTATTGCCCATTCCTCGGCCGAAAAGCTAGGCCATTAATGCTTTTCGCATGCAGATACCGCACCTACTAATGGGAGATTTCAGTTTTCAGATGTGTGGATCATTGGCTTTGCTAGGAGCGTCTATGTATAACTATGGGTATTTTTCATTCTTTAGCTTAGTGGAGATGGTTCTGATAACGGCACGAATGTTTCGTAAAAAAGTCCAAGTTTTGCCTCTTTGTGTAGATGCTGCCACATCGTTGCCGCAAAGCGCCTTATCTCAACAGTAGGCAGAAACTTGCACAGATTTGTAGAAATATGACCTTTCATCACTTTCGCAGTGATTTACTACTGAAAAATGTTCCCCGATTTTGTGCCTGAAGGCCTGCTCCGATAAGGAACAGTTGTGTATTTTGTGTTCGTCTTGAGGATTGAAGATGAGATAGTTGCGGAACTTCATACTCCTTAATAAGTATTTTGATATTTTCTTGGTAGAGTGCGTCCGGAAGTCAGGGGGCTCATTTCAAAAATGTTGCCCAATAGAGTAAATTCAAAGCGAACCTTGGAGGGTTGTTTGGCGAAGGATCCAGACTGTAAGTAAACTGCATTTTGCACTAACCAGCACTTTATTCTAGTCCTCTCACGAGAACTCACGGCATGGCTGCCCCCCAACTGTCATGCGAAGTTTCTAATGAAGTGGCATTCCCTCAGGCGGAAGTGAGGGTGTATGGAAACGCACTTGTCAAGTTTTATATCTTCCTCAACTATGTCTGAAGATTTTGATTTCTTTAATCGAATTCACCTGCATTTGAATCTCCATTAAAATACAGGATATTGCTGCCGGTCTGAGCGTTCAATGAATTTGATCCCACGGGTAATGGGAAAGCTCATAAATTATTCGTAATCGTTATTACTAAAGTAAAAGTATCGTTTGACCGAGTGTTACCCGAATCGACCGTGATTTCTGCTGCCAAGGCCAAAAATATTTGTCGAACAATTTAGCTAAAAACACGCCACTGAGGCAGATGTGGTGTGCTTTTAGGGGTTGCCGGCGTATATGCTTCCCATCCTGAATGGAAAATTTTTTGTACAAGGTGGATGTCGAGGCACAGTGCAGCATTTAGATGCGCTACGGGACGAGACTGTTAACCCGCATACACTCGTAGACGGTTTTCCGGCTCTGAGCGTTTGACAAGTCTGTGCGTTGAAATGGTTATCTGCATTCATGTAGGCAAGAGTAGTACTATAACACAGGGGCAACGGAATATATCGGGCATCGCGGCGATTACTGCGTCTACCGAGGTCTCATCTTCTGCCGTAGATATGTGATCTGCAACGGTATCCAAAATACCATAAGCAATGCTAGGTTTATGAGAAGCAGAAGCGGACACTTATTCAAAGTCGGCTAATATCTTTGATAGACAATCATCGTCTCAGCCTGAATGGTTCTTGACCTTGAGAGCATTTCCTGTCAATCATCTGAGATTGTTCTCTTGATAGTAGAAGTAATCTCCCAGATTCAGGCCAAGCATGTTTGCCCTGGTAACATAGCTTTGGAAACACATTGTTCCACGGTTTTTAGAGTGCGCTGACTGTTGTTTACCTCATTTCATAAGGTCACATGGATTAGTAGGCTTGATGATAATCTTGAGAACATGCACGAGGGTTCCAATGCTTCTCGGTCGCTCTGATGCCTTTTTGATGCAGTACAGAGGTGCCACATACCCTGGCACCGGTCAGATTTCGGCTCAGGCCTTCCAAGCGTGTTATTTTTGCACTAGCTCTGGAAGTGTTTGGGCCTCTGACGTTACGATTTCCAAAGGAAGTGGTCTTGTTCCTGCCACTAAGAGATTAATTTTTTCTACTGGGGAAAAGACGGTGCGCACGTTGGATTTGAGAGACTGGGTTCCGTTCACCACCCAAACAGATAATTAGCCAACAGGACTACAGCACCGACATCAATATTGCCGACGTAGATGGGAGATCAAAGGGTGTACGACAACTACTCACACACCAGACGGCTTGACAAGTCAACCATGATAGCCTGAGCTTGAGTTTGAGTAAGCGATTTCAGCCGCGCCTACTTATGGTAGCTGATTAACATTGGGCCCCAAGTGATTGTTTATCAGTCTGAAGAGCATCTACGCTTAATACGAGCCAATAGGGAGAGGGAGAGCGAGTGCACGATTCTAGGCGGTTCCGGGATTTGCCACCAATTGGGACTTTAAATGATGTTGAACAAGAATGTCATCTGAGGTTGTAGACATTCCTCGCATAAGCTGGATTTAACATATTAACATGAGGGGAGTCTCTTCATTCGTTGCAAAGAAGGGCATCATCTGTTTCTTTGCGTTCAAGTTCTTGCAAGTTAGGAACCAAATATTGCAACGACCGAGACAATGTTCAATGTCGACCATGAGAATTATATTAATTCTGAGGTACAGTTTTAATGGTCACCACCAATGGTATTAATCATAATCTCTCAAATCAATAAATATGGAGATAATACGATAAGAGATAGCAGAAGAAAAGGATATAGCAAGTATTTAAGCAGAGATGAATACTGCATGTTTTTTCACTGAAATTTTTTGCTTTTAATTACACTGGTTTCCAATCGCCTTGAGCCTTATTTTCTTTGACCTGTACCATGTGGTGAACAGCTAGGCTTTGATACGTTTGTCTGTACCACCACTTTTGGCGTTTGCTTTGTTCACGCAATCTTCTGCTCTTGGTCAGCTTTGGTAAATGGGGAAGGAATACGTGCATGTTCCTTCCGATATATTTCCACTTGATTGCAAGTCTTTTGATCTATTATCGGAGGCAGAGAAGCAGTATCTTCATTGTCTTGATGAAGTTGCTTGGATTGGTGGTCTAATCGACTTAATTCAGTTGTCTCCTGAGGCCGCCGGAATATTCCTTTTGGGACAGTGGATATTCGAGAAACAGACGGTAGATGGGCTCACCGCGTCAGCCAAATCCGCTGGCGTTAGTGACGCAGATGTTTCAGCTTTTGTATCCTACTTTGCTGCTATTGATGGAAATCTTGGGAACTATCTCTCATTTGGTGACACGAAGTTTATTCCAGGTCTTTCACAGGAAGCTTTCTCAACAATTGTAACAGCAAGTGAAGCTTATAATTCATCATTGGAGGTAAAGGATATTTTTGAGAGAGTTATTGCGGCAGTATATTCTTTGCATCCACGTCGTCTTCGACTCGCTTTTCCTCCTGATGGTTTAACTACTTATTACTCCGGAAACTGCACGCGCGAAGATGCTGAAATAGTGCAAAAGTACCTAAATGCGAAAAAAATTGAGGGTTATAATACTCGCGTATTGAAGAGTTTGCGCCCAAATCCCGATGGAAAGCATGAGTATCTCATTGCATTTGCATCATCTGTCAAGAAAGAGGAAGTAATCCATGAAGCATTTTTACCTAACAACGCAGTTTTTAAAGCGTATTACGGAGACCTTCAAGAAATCATGATGGTCCTAGTCGACGCCATTGACGATGTTAAGGCAACAGCATTAAATAAAATGCAAAAGTCAATGTGGGAAAAGTTCCAGACTTGCTTCCGCACTGGCTCAATCGAGGCGCATAAAGAGGGCTCAAAATTGTGGGTGTCTGATAAACAGCCAGCTGTGGAGACCTATTGTGGCTTTATAGAGAGCTACCGTGATCCCTACGGTGTAAGGGGCGAGTTCGAGACCTTTGTAGCAGTTGTTGATAAGGACGTCTCTACAAAGTTTCATCAGTTGGTTTCCAGTGCATCCAGGTTTCTTACTCTTTTACCGTGGCCTGCAACCTACGAAAAAGACAAGTTTCTGGAACCTGACTTCACTAGTCTTGATATAATCGCATTTGGGGTGTCCGGCCTTCCTGTCGGCATAAATATCCCCAATTATGATGACATTCGTCAGACAATTGGATTCAAAAACGTTTCTCTGGGTAACGTTCTCAAAGCTCGTTTTCAGGTTCTCTCCTTTCTTGGCAATATATTTTTAGGACCCGACGGCAACATTCATACGTGATAAAGACCGTGAAACTTATATAACTAACGTTGGGCAATCGTTTGAAATCCAAGTCGGCTTACACGAACTTCTTGGTCATGGTTCTGGGAAGCTCTTTCGCCGAAACGACGATGGCACTTTTAATTTTCCCAGCACAGTTCGTGACATTATAACTGGGGGTGACATCACTCATTGGTAAGTATCACTTCAATTCCAACTGTGCGTAATGGGAAATTCTTCATCTTGGAGCGTCAAACATGTGGCGCTTCCTGCATTGTAGGTACGAATCGGGTGAGACGTGGGATTCCAAGTTCAGCGGCATTGCCTCCGCTTTTGAGGAGTGTCGTGCGGAGAGCGTTGCAATTTACCTCTGTGATGTCCCCGAAGTTCTTCATATCTTTGACACAGAGGGAAAGTACGACCCGTCTGATGTGGTTTTCATTAACTGGCTCTCCATGGTTCGAGCTGGACTCATGAGCCTGGAGTTTTACACTCCAGCCTCCAACGAGGGCGACTGTGGAGCCTGGCGACAGGCTCATTGTCAGGCTAGATTCGCCATATTCAAGGCAAATAAGTCATCTTTTATCCCTTCCATAGTGCTGACCCGCATATTTAGAGATGATATCTAAATGTTCGCCATCTAATCAGTAGTACCTTTACTCTTGCGAATCAGTATGAGTTTACTGATGATTTTGTTGTTTTAACTTTGAATGAAGTTGTAATTGTGATTGGAGGGTTTAAGAGCCGCCTCTTTGGCAAATTACAAACACTTAATTGTCTGACAATCTAGGTTCTTCTCGAGTGCAACCCACCTGTGGTACAGATCGAATCGGTTCAAGGTGAGGACAGGAAGCCTGATCTTCGCATCCACCTAGATCGAAGTCGGCTCGAATCGGTTGCTAAATCAGCCATTGGAAGCTTTCTACAAAAGCTTCAGGTAACTTCGTGCGATGGCATATTCTCTATTTTTAAGGGGGACTTGATCGCAGTATCTATTTTATTTCATGGGTCGTAGACACCCATCACTTAATCAATTTGTTACTCAATCGAATTTGTTTAAAATGCGCAAAGCAGAAAACTACTGTGGTGAAGACTTCCTCAATTGTAATCGACCCATGGGTTGAATCAGATGAGCCGGTCCCCTCATTCATAATTATTCAAGCCTAAATATTTTTATCCTCAAACCAGTGACAGTTAATTACATGGACTTTATTGAAAATATTGTAGAAATGAATCTAGCGCGGGACCGAACGTAGTGTCGCCTTCGCTTCTTCACTATTTGTTAGAAATTATGTCCGTGTGCTTACTCTAGAGTAATACTGTTACGTTTGCGCGCAGCCAGGCGAAAATTAGGTATCCTGATGTCTCATCTTGCTGCCTCTGGCCAAACTTCCAAGTTCACGGTGTTGTCATTCCGTTTAATTGTTTATTTGTAGTACTACAAGAGCACTGGAAACTCGGAGGAAGGAATTCCCTTCTTCGTAAACACCTCCACCCCGACAGTCGAGCACCTAGGATGGCGCCAGACTGTCCTAGAGCGTAAGAAGCCGCGGCCCCTCTACGTACAGCCGGTTACCTTTGGGAATGCCGGAAACGGCTCTGTTATTTTGAAAAACTATCCGGGAACTGAGGAAGGCATCATTCAGTCCTTTGTGGATCGGTACTCCGAGCATAGGCGCTTTGGTCGAAGTGCCCTGGCTGCTCTTAAGGCTGTCTGGGAGCGGGAACAACAGTACTTCACCACTATTCCTCTTTAATGCGTTCTTACCAGTCTTTTGCTATTCGATTTCCTAATCCAAGTAGTATGCGATTCCATACATGGAGTTTATGTTGATTCCTTTAATCTTCTACATGAGTTTGAATAATTCGTCCTAGCTGAATTCGGATTGCTCCCAATATTACGTGATTTACAGACGGCACGTGGATGACCCACAGTGGACTTCAGATAGGTCAGGTTCCTTGAATTCAGCATCTTTGCCTTTACAATCCCTTGTCGATGTTAAATCGTCCACCTGCTATAGACACACGTTTAGCCGGTCTTTTGAGTGTTGTATATCGTCCCTTAAAGATGTGATTCCTAGAAAATTCATCTGAGAATGCGCGACCTCGTGAAATCGACCAACAAGCCCAACTCGTTCTGGGCTGTCTACTGCTCCTGCGCTACAGGTTTGTGTGCATGGTCTGTCGCGCCACCGAACGCCTTCCGTTCAATGCTGTAGGTGAGACAGTACTCAACTACCTTGATGATTTAAAGGGTTTGGTGCGATCGCCAAAGTGAACTGATCACGGCCACGAAATATTGAGGACTTCTTAACAGCTCTCGATACAAAAACTGCTTCCCAAGTGTGATTACGTTCTCGTAAACTGATAGGGAGCTTTGTCTATGGAAGCCATCGGTTGCGCATGGCTTTGCAGCTTACACCCCCACAAGTGGCATCACTTAACTAATAAATCATCTCACCCCACCACGGGTGCCGCCCTGAATGGATAATCGTGCGACCATTTCCGATCCACTTGAGGCCTCAAGTGACAAGGATCAATACACAACTTTGGAACATAATCTGGGCTTATCAGCGAGTCGCTGAGGATCGCTCCCCTAGGGATACTCCCCAGCTACTTTCGTAGAAATAGGATGTCCGCAAAGCTACGCTTTATCCCAAGTTAACCGCAACAACGAATATTTCATAGGGTATGACAAATTGCAATACGCTAATGGACGGGTAAAGCGGCTTGGAGTCACTGGATTCCAGGAGGCAGAACGTAGATGCCAGGCTCAGCATCGGTGGAGGCGATGTCGATAGGGACGGAGGTTGTGGCGAGTTCGTGCTGGAGCCAGGGCCGCAGGCGCTGGGAAAGGTAGCCGCGCTCAGAGACCGAGTGACCCGCAGTGATGATGGTGGCTCCGCGCGCCACTGCCTCCAACTGCTCGTGATGGGAGGCCTCACCCGTCACCAGGAGGTCCGCCACTTGCACTATAGCCTCCTGCGAAAAAAGCGAGCCCCCGGATCCCGCGCATACCGCAACTGCCGTCACCGGGCTATCTGGACAATGGAATATAACCGTGTTAAACTAATGTCATTAGAGGACAGCGCGTTTAAGGGGAAATGTTGGTATTACGACACGCCAGAACAGTAAAACAGTTTCACTGTGTGACGATGGTGATGTATTGCATGGGGAATGCACATCAAATGACAAAGTGGTGACTATTAGTGTGAAGGCCAGAGGCCGTTGAAAGTTTGCATGTGCGTGCATCGAAGGAAATTCCTAGGACATAGGTGACAGTCACAGTAATGTTAATAACAAATTATCCTTCAAATGCACGCGAAAAGCCTGTCGGGTACGACACAAATAAGCGAATCATAATGAGTCCCAAACTGCTAGTGAAATAGGGTTTCCACTAAAACGCCTTGAGTTCGAGGTCTTGTTATGAGTTCTATTTCCACAAAATTCTAAGGTGCTTTCAGTAAACGAAGATGGCAGCGAATTCATCAAACTGAGGTGGGTGAAAGTGTTGTCACGGCTGTAACCAAATGGTGAAGAATTGCAGAGACACGTTTTCCAATGGCAGTAAGTAGTAAACAAACCAGAGACCATATATACAGAGGTTTAAGTAAGCAACCGTCCTACGGCTTAGGTTTAACACAAGGCCAGGTACCCTCCATCAAGAAACCGGGTCTCGCAGTGCAATTCCAAGTTGCTAGAAAATCATGAGCCATTTGGCTTGGATCGTCAGAACCGAAGACAAGATATTAATGAGGAAGCAGGAATCACACGGATATTTGGAGATGGTGCACTGGTTTTCTAGTAAAGCCAATATATGTAGCGACCCACACTAACCCCTTCGGATCCAATGACACTTGAGTCTTCATTCGGATCCGGCTAATAGCAACACAACGCACCACACGCGGGAACTGTATCTACCATCACGATATCCAATGGAGACCTAAGTAGACAACAATGTACTTAAAGGTGGACGAATGAATGCGCACTACAAGTGGTGATTTTGAATTAGACTTGATGGAACTGGAATAAAGTCACAACTCCGACAATTTCAGAGACGAAATATGGAAAGCAAAATTGATGTTGAATTAAATATAGGCAAAGTTATGCAACGAGATCCCAGAAAAAGTGCTATTATTGAACATTATCTTGCATTATTGCTATTTCTAACATCCAATTGCGATGAAGCGATGTTACCGACGTAAACAATGACAAACAGATTCACCCGCGACGATACCACAGTAATCAGCATACTTCAATTGGCAAATTTTTCTCAAATCAGAAATATGATTGTGAATCAGTGTCTGAATTATTGGCGGTGACGCCAGATGACTCGTGAATCAATCATAACGACGAGGGGATTACCCACTTAGAGCAAACTTACCAAATGTTTTCCCGTAGCCAAGGGCAACTTTAAGAATGCTCGTATTAAGCAATGCCTTGTAGAATTCAACTGCGTCATTGACAGTATAGCCCTCCTTAAGGAGGCCTATGCGACCAGCTCCCTCCTCTGGCAAAAATGTCTAATATGAGGAAATAAAAAGAGGTGAAAGTTTTTCAAAAGACAGAGATAACTGTTTTGTTAAGAGAAATGCACGTGGTCAATACTGATTGGATAAGACAGGCATAACACAAAGAATAAGTTCGAAAATATGTTAAAGATTTTCAGATTCCGTTACCTTACGTTAAAACTATGAACTCAGGTCAATCCGAGTTAACTACCAACTAGTTTGATCAAGACAAAACCTAGATGCGTCAAAAGGCATGCACTAAACAGGCCCTAAGAACATTAAACCTGCCTAGTGACTGAACAGCGCAAAACGCACTACTCACAAGGGGGTCACCGATTTCCACTTCCTGACACTTCAGTGCATCCCCACTCATAATTGCCTCAGATAGTTTACCGTTAGATGAACTAAGCACAACTTAGTAACGCCACATAACTCACGCTGCTTTGCAGTTAATAGGAGCGATATTATTTCGAATGCAATATTCCTGAAACCTGCGGTCGTGTCTTGTCGTAACGGTGGGTGGCCTATCCAACAGCTTGTTGCCTTTAATAGGAACTCTACATAATACGTCTTAAAAGTAAAGGTAATTTATTGGGTCATACCAAATGGACTAAGGAGCCAGTCATTCAGGCCTCCGGATACGGCATCCAGAGCAGTATGAGGTGAATAGACAGCAATTTTGTGCTCAATACACTTCACGATAATACGTTCCTTTGATGTACTTTGGGTGAGTCGCTTCAATGGTCGAAATATTGGGGGATGGTACGATATTATAAAGTTGGCACCAATATGAGTAACCTCGTTGAGAACGGGTTCGGTCAGGTCATTGGTTAGGCATATGCGACTGACAAACGTTGGAACGGACGGCTGTATAAGAAGACCGACATTATCCCACGGCTCCGCAAGTGGAAGTTTAAATAAATGATCAAGTTTTTTGGCCAGTCTTGCAAACTCCATTGTGAACTCAACGGCTACCGCGACCCGGCTTTGAAACCGTAAATTGATTTTGTAAGACCTTCAAATTGTTTTGCAATATTTTTCCCGATTTGCGTATTTTAATCCGTGAATTTGATTGACCGGAGGCAATGCCAGAAATTTGACTGTATTTATTTGGGGGTAATCAAACGTGAATAACCAATTTTGAGAGTGGTCTTTAAAATATCTATTTGCAAAATATCTAGATGCAAACTTTAAATTTGGACTCTGAGGTTCATTTTTGTAAGCAAAGCAAATGTCCAGTTGGGTCTTCGGTCTCACAGGTGCATGAATCTCAACTTATATAAGTACCCCAAATTTATTGTCAAACTGCGCATTAGGCAGGCAGCACTCTCCTAATTGTGCCGTCGGTGTTAGTGCCACTACGGTTTTCCTTATTTTCATCAAACAACTGGACTATCAACGTATTCATCAAATCAGGATATCGCTCTCCTCAAGACTCTCCAATTTGGTTGGTGCGTGCAATTTGCAGTATCAGCAAACTCTAATGCTTTTTTAAAATGAGCATTCTGGAGGCTTGGTAACCTGCAATGTGCAGTCCACATTTCAGCGCCAAATCTTTTACTTTTAAGAACTGATTAATGTACACAAGCTATGTGGCAGGTTTGTATTGAGGTCATCGAACCGATTACATAAAACCTCTAGTGAAATAGGAAGATTAAAGCACGAGGTTCTCTCTCGAACTGATAATACCCGCTGAGGCTCCCTTTTTCAAAACCCGAATCTTGAGTAATCTGCCCATGTCTCATCAAACCGACGCCACAGCACAGTGGGTGAAATTGTTGCCACTTTTGGTCCGACGGCAGCTAACATCTCAATGGCAACTCAGTCTGCAATCTTGGAGAACCAGGAACTACCTTGGCCCAAATTTCAATGAGACACATAAACACCACTTAATGTTCCCGACTAATTTTTTTCTCTTCCCTGTTTTCATTGATAAACTACAATATAAACCGTGATCAAAAAGGAACAATCACAGGGGATTATAGACGCCAAGATGTCAAGGCGACGATGCTGCACCAAACATTATATAACTGGCGTTGAGTGGGAGCTCGGTATATCAGACTAGGGGTTCGAGTTACCGGTGTTATTCTACTGACTTCACACTCAGGCAAGAAATTACCTATGTGTAGTTTTTGTGTTACTTTATCTAAGTGGCGACAATACCCACACCAAATTCCCCATTTTGCAAATGAAGATCTTTTCAAAAAAAAATGTTGCTTTCACACGTTTTCTTATCATGTATGTTGATAGAACTAGAGGCATTGAAACTATCTTAAGTTGGGTTCTCCAAGTTCTGGCTCTACTGCCTCAACGCAAGTTGACAGCGCCAAGGCCAATGGAATTAATGTACATGGACAACATTAATGCAATTTGTGACACAAGCATCTCCACCCGTTCTGTGCGTACGCATATAAAGCATTGAATGAATATCAATTCTCCAACTTTCGAAGTCCATTCCATATTGCCACAACTACTAGTTTCCTCTAACACTTTTTCCTTTTTGTTTAACGAACGAGATGCGGTTTAGCATTTGCACTAATGTAACTTATTTGCCCTAAAATAAATTCCTCCAAAGGTGGTTCCAGTTGTTCAAGCTAAGCATTGATATCATTTCTGGGGAAGAAAGTTAGTAATGCAAAAGGCAGCTAGAAATACAGATGAAATGATTGGGGTTTTAGATCCACAGCCATGAAGTGATCAAGTGAAATACTACATAGTACCAAGTGGGAACCGAACCAAATGAGGACGCTGTTGTGGCATCCAGTTTTCCCTAATGATCTGTGCACGGTAGGAACCAGGAAACAGATTTACCGTAAACGTAAAAGTGGGTTAGCAAACTAGTAACATGGTTGATGCGGGTGGAATGCCACGCTTTTGACATCAGAATCCAACCGTGGAGGGTGTATTCAAATGTACAATTAAAACAGCATTCAAATATACTATAACAGTCAGCGACACTATGATGTTGTCAATAGAAGAATAAGCATCAGTTTTAGCGTTTAAAAATAGGTGAGGGAATGTTTATGATGAAGAAACTGCGGTGTTTTAGTTGTCAGGGCCAATGTTTTAAATGGTGATTCGTATATGAGTTCCCAAATTAGCTGTGATATTTTCGTTAAACGAGGAAGAACTAGATTGAAATTGTACAAACGTATTAGAGGAGGAGCTATTAGAAATGAGAGAGGAAAAATATGCCTGAAATCACATGGTCCAGTTGGTTCGCTTAAATCCGTTGGAGATCCCTTTGACAATTCTGGAGGCCTCGGCTCTGCTGACACAGAGGAAAACATACGCACTGAAACTAGTGGCCACAGCGCAGGTACTGTTGCCGGCGATGTAGCCAAAGTAGCGCGGGGCTTGCTTCCTGGGTCCCACAGCTGAGATGCTGGGATAGGCATGTTTGAGGAATGGTTCACTCTGAACGTCGTTTTGAGTAGCGCCCGATCTCACTGGCCATACGGATATGTCGAGTTCACCTAGAGGAGAGCCACAATGTGTCTACCTTCTGTTTGTAAAAGTACATTTAATCACAGCCAATATCCTAGGAAAACGTTTTAATGGTCGTAAGCACTTGCTCATTTACCTGCATTTCATATGTTTTCGAGGGCAAATCGCACAATTAAAGCAACCATTTATGACCCACCGTGCCAATAAAGCCTTGGTATCTGCACTGAAGCACCACCCCAATCACGTGCGAACAACGTAGTATGTAGAAGGAAAACGCATGAATATGTTGCTAGCAACTTTTCCACAGTTGCATCCTTAATTTCATCAGTGCAAAGTCCTAGCATCAATTTCACCATCAAGGATTAAGGCGATAAAACACTAACCCAAAGATTGTGCTGGAACATGCAATTTTTTGTAACCAAATTCATACAGTTTCATTCAAAACTAAGCAGATGTATAAAAGAAAACAATAACGAGATGTTACGTGTCAGGGGGTACGTTTACGCCACACTCCATTTATAGGCTGTCTGCATGCATAACAATGACGATGATTTAAGAAGCACATAGTGTCACCTAGAAATTCAAAGAAGTCCTCTAGCTGTTTAATTTGACAACTCAAGAAAATTAGCACGATCACCGGTTCCACCTAATCCTAGGGAAACACTTAGTGAAATGGCTCCTTCGGATAACAGCATGGTATGTGAGAAGTTTACTTCAGACATGAAAACTGGATTGCCTCCCTGAATTTTGCCACTAATCACGCCTTAGAAAGTGTGCAATTCTTTAGAAGTCAAACGATAGTCGAGTGATATCATGAGAACCCTTATACTATCAACTAAGTAAAGTTGAGGCACGAAAAGCACAAGCCTCACCCAGTCGCACACGGACCGGCATGAAGTGCGAGGGAGAGGGGTTCTTAGCAAGCACGGACTCGATGACCTCGGAGATGTGGCTCATGTTACCACGAGAGCCCACATTCATGCTCCCAACATAGCGCACTGAGTGGATGATTTCGGTGACTGACGAAGGCGCTTCTCCAACGCCATCTATTACACCTTCCCCCAGAGTTGCATAGCAAGCCGATAGGTCAAGGGACTCAGTGTCAGGCCATGCTGAGAGCTTGGCTTCAACAATAGCGGAAAGGAGTGAAGAAGTTAATGTTACATGATTTTCCAATATTTCTGGAAACTAACTGTTGCACTTTTTTTCAAAACCAATGACGTCATCCTCAAAGTACTTAACAATACATAAAAAATAAAATTGAGGAAATTTTGTAGCAAGAGATCAAGAAAAGCCTATGAAGCAGTAATTCAACTGCCCCATATCCAATGCCATATATTCGTTAACAAATCGTATCCACGATTAGTGAAATACCTAACCCTTTGGATGAAATTAAGGCATAAATAACTAAACCGTTTATTTCAGTCGCCATAATTAACACAGCAATGTTATGACAGGTAACCGAATGGAATTTCTATTGGCTCCATACGCCATCAGTCAAGTACACTCTTGCTTCAGAGGTGCAGTGGTCTAGTTACATAATGATGAGTACCTCTAAAACGTAGCTTCATGTCTCCAAAATCATTCATTAATGTCGCATATTACCTCATAGTCAGTCAACATTTGCAGAGCACTGCAAATCCGGTAACTTGGCATGAGTTCTCAAAAAAGCAAATCTATAGATTTACCAAAATAAGCAATGAGAAACGCATACAAATAAAATGGTGCAGGATGACACTAAACCTGGTACAGATAAATCGACAAAACTTTACTGAAGATTTCCTAATATAATTTGTAAACAAAAAATAAATTATGTCATCATGCAAAGGTGTGATTGCCAATCCATATTTGTGTTGGTTAACATGATGTTATTATTTGCAGTCATTTATTGGCCTTTATTTTTATACTTCAAAGTCATTATCATGTCTTTCATCTGAATTTGACGCAACACAGCGTTGTGCAACTCAAGCAAACCTAATAGGGTATGACAATGTTAGGTTCCCAACTTTGGAAATAAAGTGATCTACTCAAAGTTGGTACGATAACAGAAGCAAAACAGCTGAAAAGCCTTAGGCTAAGAATCCAGTTTATGCTACCATAAGGGATGATAGAAAACGTTTTACCCTTTGTACCAGATTTTTCATCCAAATTCAATATATTTTCATATCCTCGTTTTTTCAGAATATTAAGAATCGGCTTAAAATAAGTTCCATCCGGAGCCCGAATCTTTGCTATCTCAAAAGGTAGCAATGTCCGACATTCTCGGGTGAAGATCTTTTGAAGGTCAACTACTTTGCCCCGAAGTATATTTCCTGCCAAGCTAGTAATTACATCACCCAGTTCGAAAAATCCTCCTTCGTTGTCATAAAATTCTTTCTGGAGCTCAGTAACTATATAATACGAGTCCAAGAATCGAACTCGAATACCGAGATGGCTAAAATTTAAAGTACACATTTTCTACAAAATATGATATGCTGATCAATTCGAGGCAAATATATAGAGAAGGGAAGTCCAAATGCAAATTGTAAATGATGTAGAGAACTCTTATTCCTAATAAAAAGCGTGCATGCTGGAGTTCAATCCACATATAATCGGAACAAGCACCCAATGTTTTTTCTGAAAGTAATTTTGCGCCGCAAAGCACGACAATTTAGGATATTAACTATTAATAATAGTTTAAACAACAGATACCCATCATGTTCAAAACTAGCACTAACACATTTTTTAAGGCCAAAACTTACCTACAGGGTACAAAATCCTTTGTCATGTAAACCGGTATTTCCCAAGTGGCGTCAAGAAAATCGGCACTGTCTATATTCAGTTCAAACTTCATCCGAGTGAAATCAGCAACAAAAGAGTAAAATATTTGACACTGCACATCATTCGTTAATATAGCTTTTGAGCGTTCATAGAATTCAAGCAGAAAGGGTTTGTTTTCCTTGAGCAGAAAAACCAGGTCCCCGAGACTACCATTTTTTGCTAAAATCCGCAAGAACAATCGCCCTTTGCCAACGGCCGTTTTAACTCTTTTACATTCATTGACCTTAAATGAATCAAATACAAATGCATTTCAGGTCGAGGTGAAACACTAGCCCAAGCAATGTAGTCGAAATTAGAAAACACCCTCTCGACGTTGACAAAATAAAAAGTATACCGACCAAGCTACCTAGAACAATACGTCAGGCTCAACTAAGTATAAACTTAAAGTGTGACTTTCTGGTAAAATGCAAGTATGAGCCCGTGTATGCTGCAATACATACTTTATCAAGCGTCGCAGATAATGAATACGGGACATCATAGTTAAACTCTTTATTGCACTTTGTAAGCTTTTCAAAAACATTCCAGCAGTACTGTTGGGATTCACCAAACAGTGAAGGGAATTCCTTAAGCCCTTGTTCAAATACCTTCTCGATGGATGTAAATAAAGGAACCAAATAAGTTGAACTGTCATTTAATTCAGTACAGTTGGAGGCATACAACTGTGCAACACATGCCTTGAAATTAGCCACACATGTCGACGCCATCCCTGCTTAGGCAATCACCAAACTTCCGCCTCACTATTCTTGCGCTGAAGGCTATACCTGAGATCATTCAAAAAGCGTTAATAATATGAAGGTCAGGTTATGCGTCAAAAAAGTTTCGACTTAAAATGTAGCTACTTTTCATGATATCCTTTTTTTTGTTCTAGGTGTTTTGCGAAGGAACGAACTGGTCGTTTACTAGGGACAGCAATTTATTTAGTAATTGCTGAAATTATCGTGTATTATAACAAGTTAACAAATACCGCAGGTAGAGAAAATATAAAAACTAGCATATTTGCACTAGTGTGATTGGGAGGTGAGAGGAAATTTGCAGTAATAGTTGTTCAAGTGGTTTGAGGAACAACTTAACAAGCAAGCTGATCCATCACAAATCGCATTAACAATTAGAGAGGTTTTGACTTGGCCTCAAAGAACAAAGGACTTATTTAACAGAAATAATGCTTAGTGGGGTGTAAAGACAAGGCACTGATAGTGGAAGACGTTGGCTACCTAGGTCCTTATAACTACTATTATTAAGCATGGTATTGTAGGGCGGGACTCACAGGTCTCATCTTCCCTGTTCTTAGTGTTCTTAGAACAACCTGGTTGATTTAATTTTGATATTTATTAGGGGTGAATGATGGGGAGAAAAAGCACAAAGTTTAGGGAGGGGAAAACCGCGATCGCATTCAGGCACGGGAGACGACGATCCTGCCACCAGATTCGAATTACAGCTCTGCCTCCTCCCTGAAAGGTGCATTAAAACAACACAAGTATTACAGTATTATGCAATGCTTTAATGGGTTGCTTACCTTGGTGTTTGATTACTCGGGCACTTAGGTCCCCGCGGATTTGGCTTTTGAGAGCTGGTACAGTCTGCAGATCATGGGGTAGCCTCGGCGTAACTGTAATATGTTGGTTGTTTTACTCTCGGTTTTGCTAAAGGGTCCACTTTGGATCTTCATCACTGTCCTTCAATCATTTGGTCTGATCTCTGGAAAATGCCGGTACCCCCATCCCTTCTGTATTTCGAATATGTACACATATTCCGCCTGAGTATTATGCCTTCCTTCGCCTTCAGGGAAGTCTCGGGGCGCTATACTACCATTATTATACAGTAACTTGTAGCACATGCTACTCTCTTGACCTAGTCCATGCTGCACTGGTCATTTTATACTTTTCCTCCTTAGTTAATCGACATAGGGTTAATTTCTTTTTGAAAACGATGCAACATGCTGTGTCTTACACGGGTAATAAAACGGGACTGAGAGCACCTCACGTTCTGCAGTGTTCCTCTTATTGTAAAGCATAATTATTTTCGATTAGGTGGTAAAATCGAACTAGCTTTCGCGTATGACTATGACTGTGCGACGCTAGCAGCTAGTGAGGGGGACCTCTAATTACATAAGGGGCTTTTGGCGAGTTTGAGCCTTCCCCTATATTCTATGTACCTACTGCCGCAAGCTCGTTTCAATCTGAAGGCAGATTACTATCGACTCATTACTTGTCTACGGTTCAAGCCAACCTTAGCAGTTGGAGAAATGTGAGTTGTTTCTAAATGAAACATATTACAAGCTCCATTATAATTCAGTGATTTTCAGGTGTATTGTTGAGCTGACAGCCTTGCAACCACTGGTCCCGCACCAACGTCCTCTTAATGTATGTTATGTATTTAAGTGGGCGCCTGAACTGAAAACTTGAAAATTTTTTGCCTAATACAAATGATATTGGAGGCTTCCGAAATGATTTGTAAGTGTATTTATACTCCTACCAAATATATGGAGATCAGCCGTCTCATTACCTAGTTATGGTTTGTTGAAATACTCTTATGTAGTACCGTTAAAGACGTCATTGATAAAGTAACAAAATGAGTCTGAAAATGTTTTCCAAGATTAATTTAATTTGCTGCCATGGAGCATAAAAAAGACTCATTTAATAAAGGGGGATTTTCGCCAGCACGTTCCCTCATTCTGGTAAGATTTATTAAACAGGACATTTCTCCACTAGGTTTTATTTTTTAACTTGGTGTTGCTTTTAAGGATAATGGTATGAATAAAATGCATGCTTTTAAAATTAAAAAAATATGAGCAACATTGCCCATTGAGGTGTAGACCAAGAATTAGGGAGAGAAATGTAGTTTTGCAATCACTGGAACTGCGGGAACTAATCCATCATCTCCCAACTTTGTCTGCTCTTCTTTACTTAGCCCTATCTATTAAAGCAAAAGAAACTACAGTATAATAAATTCACTCCCTTGGGGTGTAGTCATTCATGCTCAATAGATATAAATCGCCTCTGATGACCCAGATTTTCTGGAAAAAAAACCATTTTGAGCAAAAGGTAGACAAGCAAGGGGGTGTCTAAAAAAGAGGAACACCTCTGTAATACGTATGGTTCATTTTGAAATGCCTCCTATAGG